TTTAAATTGTATGTACAGATTTGAAAAAAATTGATTTTTGTTCAAGTGGTTTTAGTCTCTATAGAGGAAACTTTGTCAAAATTTTTATAAAAATATCACAGTCAATGTTAGTCAAAGTTACATTGGTGGTGGGTTTGACACTTAGCTGGTAGTTACAATCGGCGCACGACACGTGTCGAGTCATTAGGGAGATTCGGAATGGGTCATGTTAAAAATATCCTAGCTTCTAATACACATTTACATAACCACTTTCTTCAACCTTTTGCTGGAAATTGCCATTTTAATGATAGGTTCTTAACCCTTCTATCAAAAATAGCCATCTTCATGGCAGGTTTCTTTAACCCTCAACTAGAAATAATTATTTTCATGGTAGGTTTTTTCAACCTTTTGCCAAAAATTGCCATTTTCATGGTGGGTTTCTTCAACCTTTTTCTTTTTCCCTGCAAGTTTCTCCCTTTTCAGCGTGTAAAAATTCGCATATGCTTTTGATTTGCTAGTGATCTTTTTCTTCAATCTGGAACTGGAAAGTTTGTTCAAATTTTTTGCTTCATGGTTGTTGAACAGGTATGAGGAAGTGCCGGAAAAATTCTTTCTCAAATTTTCTTTCTTTAATCAATTTCATGGTGATTTTCAACTCGCGCAAGAAAATTCCTTTTTAAAAGAAGTAGTTAAGATCTTGATACATCATTCCGATCATCCCTTTCTTCATTTTCGTCGAGTTTTTCTTGTGATTAACCAAACACCTTTTTCACATACAATGCCAATATGATGACATTAAAATCTGTTTAATCAAGTTGCCAACAAAACTTCGATCATCTAGGCATCACCTGCATGTTGGAACACACAATTAGGATGCAAAAGTAATTGTGTAAAAAAAATATATATATATCTAATGACTTTTTGCACTTTGATAGTCAAGTCAATGAGAACAATATAGATTGAGTGAAAGAGTTTTGATTAAGAGGGATTTGTCTAGGGTTTATAATAATTACCATGAGTGTAAATGGACTCACATATATATAGAGGAAGAAAAATGTGCCAAGATGGACGATCAAATCATGCCTAAGTACAAAAATATGTTGTTCAATTTGATCCAATATAATTGACATTACAATAATCGCTCAACTAACACACGATCCCTTATGTCTTTTGCATGTCGTTTAAGTGTAGATATAACACATTGTACAAAAGCATTGACCATTTAATGAATGTGTCAAACTTGCGAGACAGAAGAAGCACGTCCTAGACAATATCAAACGTTACTAACAAGGACCAAATACATAATTGTCACAATGCTCATTACAATAATCGCTTTCTTTAAAATGATATTTTCCCTCACTAGGATTCTGGCAAGTAAATCGAATCAAGTTGAATCCTATTTTGCTACAATAAAAATAAACATAGTTGTGGATTGGAGTCATTGTTCAAGTGTGTTTGGAGTTGGTAAGCTAAAATTGAGCCTGAATCCATCAAATGAAGACCAATTTCGCTGTATTTGGTATCAGAGCCACGATGGTGGTGGATTTTCAACCAAAAATTGACCAGAAACAAGTTTGAAATTCAATAGAAAATGAAATAGATTAGTCTAATTTTTTTCATCTTGCCAAAATCCATTTTGTTATTTTATGGAACAACCACTTACCCATTGGAAAAATGGAGACCAATCGTGTTCAACAGATCGAGGCGCACCTGGGTAGGTAGTGTATGATAGACGATAACGTCGCATGATCACTCGTGTGGGCTCGTGAGGCCTCTTTCGACGATGATTTCTTCAAGCAATTTCCTCCGGACGACCATACGAACCATGTGGTAGGGTTCATTTTCAATTTTGAGTGCTCCTATTGAACTTCGATGATTTTACCCTTGGTCTTTCAATATTCACCTTTTTTTTTTTTTGCTTAATTGGTTGCTGTAGTTGCTGGTAATTTTAGGGTGAATAGTGGTGGCCCTTAATTGATAAATTTTGATTTCTCATAATATATGAACTCGGATTGATCCGCTCTAGTATGTTGACTTATCCCAATTTAAATTTTAGCGTTAGCACGCTATCGTGTAGGGTGACAGTAGGATTGGAATTATCGTAAAGGGATAACCATTGATTGTGCTAGAAATTTAGGAATTATTTGCTTTATTTGAAGCGTTAGATTTAACTGCAAGTTAAAAATTCTTCTGTGTTTAATTGCCTGCATTACATGAGAATAGGAATTTTTGTTAGCATGCCTTGGTGTAGCATTGATTATTCTGTTAGAATAACTAGACATGACCCATTTGAACATTCCCATGATCTAATATCACGAATCTTACGAAACCTTAGGAATTCAAAACAGTGTATAGTACGGCCTTAGGATTGCATTGTATGACCTATTTGTGTACTTTGTTGTTCTGTTTTTTCAAAATGTCTTCACATTTTGAAGTTGAAATTTTTAATAAGAAATGAGATTTTTCAATTTGGCAACAAAAGATCTATTTTGAGAAAAGTTGGAAAACTTGATTTTATAAAAGAACTTTAGCAAAAGTTTGTTCAAGTCCACTCCAAATAAGTTGTACTTGCTTGAAAGATCTTTTGGCTTTAAATTGAATCATTCAAAGGATCTTGATAATAATTTGGATATCTTCAACAAGCTTGATCAAGATATTGTCAATTGTGATTAGAAAGTGTCTGAAACGTATAAGGCCATTATTTTGTTTAATTCAATGCCTGATTTATATAGAGAGGTTAAGAATCCAATTAAGTATGCAAACATCTTAACATCCGAGATTGTCATAAATTCTTTTAAAAGTAAGGAAATGAAGATTACGACTAAAACCGAAGATAAGAGGAGTGTTGAGCTATATATGATGATGAGTAGAATGAAGTTTAAGCAAATAAATTTGGGTAGAGCTCAAGATACTAGTGATTTGAGTAGCGACTCGAGTGATGAGGGTGGTAAGAAGAAGAGCAAATGATGAGACAATTCTAGTAGTAGACGGTATTATAGCTGTGGTAAGTTTGGGCATTTTTATCAAGGACGGTCCCAAGAGAAAAGGATAAGTAGAAGGGTAAGATAGGAAGTGAGGCGAATGTGGTTATAAGGTCGAGTTATGACCCTAATGAGGTTCATTGAGAGTAAACCTAGTTATTGCATGTACATCTGTGTGTAATTCCTTCTGCATCTATATGATTGCTTAATTTTATTACATTGATATGTTACACTTTTTTAATTTGTTTGTACGTGTAACTATATGGATTGAAGTGATCTTATTACTCGATGTAATTGTTTGTATGCATAGTGTGTTAGGATACATTAGTAGTAAGTGCTGGATGTCCATTGGTAATATTGAGTATAGATGCTTATGGGTACATTGATGGTTTATACCAAGGATGCGGAGATTGACATTTGGATTACCAGCACAAATGTGATTAGATATTGGAATCTTTAATTTGTGTGGAGATCCTGATCAGGCGGAGTGTGAGACAAGCACTTCTATCACCTCCGTTAGGTAGAGACCCATTATCCACTTCGGTTGGGAGAAGTGATGGTGTGATTGAGGATTATCCCGTAGACTTAGTATCTATTGTGATTTATTAATTAGACATGAGTTGAGTGATCAATCTTGTAAACATAGTGGATGATTAGAAAAGATATGTGTTCTCGAGATGGGAGCAACACAGAATGTGATAAGATAAGTGTGTTGAGATCCTTTCGTGAGGTCATTTATGCATTTGTTACATATGTGTTGACCATTTCATTGATTAACTTGATGTTAATCTATTGTTCAGCGTGAACATATTTCGAAAGGATATGTGTTTTATCCTAGTTATATCTTCGCATGTTTATTTGTTCTTGATTGTTTTATTAGTATTTTTTGTTTCTACTTGGATGTTCTTGACCTTAGCCCTGATGAGTACATGGAGTAAGTGCTGTGTGTGATTAAAGTACAAAATATGAGGTAAAGTCTGTGGTTCCCAATTTTATTGATTACATTGATTATGTAAGTACTAATTGTGTGTTTTGATTGATTACAGGTTTATTGGGTATCAATGTAGAGATTTGTTGGGTTTTGACACCTAATAATAAAATCTCGAACGATGATGTTAAACAGTTTAGATTATATTTCTTAGGCCTCGGCCAATGAGTGAAATAACTATTAACACAATCAATCAATCGACTTAATCCTAAAAACAACTTGGGGGTCGTTGGGAGCAATTTAATTTAGTTAATGTTGCTCACAACCCATTTACTTTTTGGATGACTCTCTTTTATGTTCCGGTCCCTTTACCATTTGTTGATCCATGAGCCCACTATTATAGCCCACTTAAATTACACCCTATATCTATATGGCCTCATTGTGAAAGAAGCTGAGTGTGTGTACAATTGTGAGAAAAGAGGCAGCCGACCCTTTGTGCTTTCTCTCTTCGAGTTTGAAAATCGAAACCTATCTTCCTCTCTTCTTGGTTATATATTGCAGCCACCCTATTGTGTTCTTTGTGGATACACTGAGTTGAGCAACCGAAGTAAAACTTAGTTGTGGATTGGAGCCATTGGTTGAGTGTGTTTGGAGTTGGTAAGTTAAAACTGAGCCTGAAATCCATCGATTGAAGATAAATTCCACTACACTCTCCTTTAAGGAGGCAACAGAAACTAGAATTCAACTGAGGGTTGGGTGCTATGAAAGGAAATATATAGATCATGATTATTTGCATTGTCACTGACGAAAACAACCAAACAGTGAGGAAAAAAGAAGTCAAACTAAAGAATTTTATATTCTGTATTTTCTAATTTACAATATATGAAGAAACTTTGGAAAATATGAAGCAAGATTTATGCAAAAAAGTTTTTTTTTTTAATAAATAAATAAAAGAGGATTGTATTTTTTTTATGTATAGAAGTCAAAAGATACTGAAGATAAATTTGAAATATTTGGTGCACTAAATTTAACTTTAATTGACATGAAGGCAAGATTAAAGAAGCAAGATTCACTATACTATTAATCGATTGTTCACTTTAGTCAGTGCGCTATTCATCAGTTATTCTTGGCTTAAAATTTTGAACTGCCATGATTTTGTTTTGTCATTACATCACATAAATACTTGGACAGTAATATATAAACAAGCAACTTTACTTGTCTTCTCAAGCATTTTTACTCCTTTTCTTGATAGTCATAATCCATCCAAATCAATATCATTTTTTTTTTCCTTGATCTTCAAATTCACTTACTATGTATTACAATACGTCAATACATATTCTCAAGTATCCTACTAAATTATTTGTCAACTTCTTCCAATCTTCAATGAAGAATCAACTCCTCTTCCAATTCCTGCAAAGAGCTTAGCAATTTCCAGTTGAGTATTTGCAATAATCTCAGTCCTTTTAAGATCCATTTCTCCTCTCTTAGCATCAGCTTCAGCTCTTATTCTCTCTAACTCTCTCATAGTCTCCATTCGAGATTGTTCCGACCTCAGTACCACTTCTGCTAACCATCTAATGCTCTCTGCTATATCCCTTTCTTCTCCTCTTCGCTTATTTTTTCGCCCCATCTTCATCTTTAAATTTTTCGACTTTAGTTTCTCCTGTCCGCTACAAGGCCCTGGCGTGCTACTATCTGTCTCCATGCGATTTTTATCCGATTCATGATCGGATAATTTGTCGGCAACTCCATCTTCCTATTACATTTCGGTTTATATGAACTTACATAAGCAAAAATGAGTCTTACAAATTTTGATAGTTGGATTCTTCACAATATCTTGGATACACATTCAAGACAACTAAGTTGCATGGAAACGTAAATTAACACACAATATGATAATTTTGGGGAAAAAAAAGCGAGACAGATAAAAATGTCGTGGAAACATTGCATAAAAATCAAAATACATTTATAACTTCACTATGTAACTTTAAAAAGATTATATTAGTTAACATTAATCACTTTATAGTCTTTTATATTATTGAGTAGAGCCCTAAATTAATTTTATGTTGAATCACACTATTTAAATTCATATTCTTTGTTGAAGTCCTTAACAAGCCCACAAAGAGATAAAATTTCTATTCTAAGTTTCTGTGTATATTTGATTTTAAAAAAAAAATGTTTTCTAATTTTATTTAATATAAAAAGATTAGAAAACGTGATTTCGTAAACAATCTGGAAAGTTGTCTCAGAGTTTTGATTTTCGAAACGCATTAAAAAACGAAAAGCTACCAACGCAATATAAATAATACTTTTATATAGATTTAAGGCAATTTGCATATTAGATCAATTATGATCGTCAATTTAAAAGTAATAAGGACAGCAACAAAAGCATATGTATGGCTACTTTCACTAACCTTGGCCGACCGATCAAGACCATTCGATCCATGTGAATTTTGCACAAGATTTCCAGGTTGCAAAACCGTGGTTGGAGCTGGAGGTAGAGGTGGCGGTAGAGGTGGAGGTGGCACCGTTGGTGTAGGCTGTGGCAGTTCTTGCGGTAGTGATGTTTCTAAAAACATAAAAGTTGGGCCGTGACAAATTTGAGGAGACGACGAAAGAGGAGGAGGAGGAGCATTTCCACGGAGTAGAAGATCAAGACGAGGATAAAGCGGCCACGACGAAGCATCAGCCGCAGCAGACTCCGACCTATACCTTTTCTTCATCGACTCAATCTTGTTCTTACACTGTGTTTGCGTCTTAAGAGACTTAGTCGAGTTTGCACGTGACGAGACATGTTTTGCAACATCTTCCCAATCTTGTCCCTTGAGTTTTGCACGGTTCCTAAGTGTCCATTTAGCCTCATAAGCTTCAAGAAGGCTTGAAACAGCTCCTTCACTCCACTCATCTCTCTTCAATCTATCACTATTGCCACCCCCACCTTGTGGCTTTCTAGGGGACTCTTCGTTGTTATTGTTAATAGAGAGGAAAGAAGAAGAATTCCCATTTTTAAGTTCTCTATCCATCTCTCCTCATACTACAACAAAACTTGTTACGTTTAGCTGCCAACTTGAAGATAAAACTTGAAACGTTGAGTTCAAGGAAGAGGGGAGAGAGAGCCACTAGCATTTAGAGGGAGAAAATGAAAAGGGCAAGAATAAGTGGCGTATTGGAGAAAGTTAAAAAAAAGTGTCACTACCATTAACAAGATACTATATAACTAAGTGGGAGTGGCCAACCAAAGAAGAATAGGTGATTTTGTCAAATGTGTTAATGATACTAATTTAACTTTTTTCTACACTTTATTGCTAGTGTTATCTTTTGTGAGCATTTGTTGGTTTTGTTCTCGGCATTTTTTTGGCAATTAGCGTTGATATGAAGCCAACCATGACATCCACCGACGAGGTGGTGGTCATTCACGTGGGATTGTCACCCACTCTCTCTATCTCATATCATCATTCACTAATTAATATCTTCCTTTTTAGATCAATTTTTCTGTCCAACTATTTCATTAACTCTCGTTTCTGTCAAATTTTGACGCAGATAATTTTAATGTGTTAAAATTTTAGCGAGACATAATTTAGCCGGTAAAATAAATGAAATAAAACCTAAATTTTTGACATAGTAATATGTCAAAATTTAATTAGAGGACAGAATAAGACAGCGAATAGGTGGCATTGAGATGGAGAGAGCAGATTGGGTGCCTATAAGCACAAATCACCCTAATTTCTACCTGCACTTTTCCTTTACCTTTCCAAGCTTTTGCCTTTTTCCTAGCTTTGTGACCTTTCATCAATATGGGCGATAATCAGAATTTGGACGGTTTTTTTGAGTAATTGCTAGGCCTACTTTATTTGTCATCAATCATGAACTAATAAATTTTTTTTTTTAAATATATATATTTTTTTCAATTGGAATTGGGCATCACCTTCTGTAAACGTTTGTAGACTAAAGTCCTTCTAAAATCAAATTTATTAAACGAGCTCAACCGTTAAAATAGTGTAGTCAGCCCGCCTATGATAGTTTATTATATTTGTGGTGGTCCTGATGAGTGTGATTTTACTCACGAGTTATACACAATTTTGATGAAATTATTTCCTAAATCTTACAAATTTAGAATGTTTTTTTATATGTTTACTAGTGTTATTTTAAATGTTAAGAAAGGTGGGGTCAAAATGGTGCTATAGTGAACAAACAAGCCGAGGACAAGTTTTATGACAGCAAGGTAGTTCCCAAGCACTATAGACAGTGAGAAAAGCAAATTTGGGCATAGAAGCAGCGCTTAGGCACTACACTCATGGCGCCCAGGCACTGCCCCAAGCGCTTAGACATTGCATTCATATTGCCTAGGCACACTACACTGTGTTTCATCGCAGTGCTTAGGCGTTGCTTCCTAATGCTTGGGCACTGCGTTGCTTGTTTTAAGGTTATATCGTTTTGGCCCGTGAAAAGTTGAGGAGTATAAATATAAGAATTGAGTACTTCAAAAGAAAATTCCACACATTGACATACATAGAACTCAACATAAGAATTAGACAGCAAATTCAAGAGAAGAAAAACAACAATTCAATAGTTTGAAATCAAGATTTGAAACGAGAAGAGAAACTTGGTACATGATTCATCCACTTATCTACATCTCAATTCAAAATTCCGTAATATACTTCATTATTGTTATTTTAGGGTGAACAATGTAATCTAATTTGGACCTTTATTTCTTTTATTCAAGATTTTTGTTCTTTTATCATACATGTGTTGATTTTGCCATGAGTTTAACACATCAAATTACTTCATCACTAATTTGATAATTTTGTTAATCTTTTACGGATCCAGATGTGAATTTAAGATTTAGACCATATAGTAATGTTCAGTAAATTAGTATAACGTGTAGAGATGTATATACTAATTATTGCGATCATATATGAATCTTTGGAATCAATCTTTCGTTTAGCTAAAGTAGATTCTTATAGAGATATGGAATTGGATTAATTAAATAAGGTCAATGAGAACTCGAGAGAGATAAGTTGAATACAATAGAAGAATTCGATCGAACACTACATTAGATTTTGAATCTTGATTTAAGACTTCAATATGTTCAATAGTTAAAATTGTTCTGCTCTAATATCCATTCTATATGTGAATTCTAAATCAATCTTTGTGCTCATCCGGTGTTTTTAAGTACTTAGATTAAAAATCACAATAAACCCCCGTTTGGCCCTGATTTTTTTCAAATTTTAATACTTGGAATATTATTTTTTTTTAAAAATGTATGGTTGAAAAAGAATGAAAAGTTTTCGATTTACATCTAACATTATTTTATGGAAGATTATGTGGTTGAAAATAAGAGAAAGGAAAAAAATGAAAGAGAATGAAGGCCAAACAGGGGCTAGATCGCAATTCTTTCTTTGTTTAATCAAATAGGAGTTAGAAATATTAGATTAAATATTAAAGTATACTTCTCATGGGAACGATAATCTAGACTCAAAGATCCATTATATTAATTTTTACGATCGGTACACTTACGAGATCTAAAAATCGACAATAAGTTTTTTGGTGCTGTTATTGGAGGACTATTTAATTTTAGGCTTAATTTAAATTATTTTTGACTATTATTTGATTTGTTTATTTTCTTTTATTTACAGAAAAATGGCTGTTTATTGTGTGCTCTGTACCCAAGGCGACAATCTTAAACCGTTTGATTCGAAAATAGAACATACATTCAAGCGAAAACGCAAAAAACATAAATAAAGACAATAACATCAAATGGCTGACGATCAAAATATTCCTATTCCTATTCAACCAATTGGACTAGTGGTTGCAAGAACAGCGGCACCATCGGATCAGTAACATGAGTAAAGGAAAATAAATGAAGGAGATTTGCCAATATCATTTTCTTGACACCTATAGCAACACCTACGTGCTCCAATATTGTGTATCCAGACTTTGAGGTGAATAATTTTCAGATAAGAGCAAAAATTCACACACTTATTTCTAAACTTTTCAAAATTTGTCAGAATTTTCATGCCCCAAGGGTTAATGAAGATGTTATTAAGTTGCGGTTGTTTTCATATATACTGAGAAATGCTGCATCGGAATATTTAGATGCCGAATTTCATGGAAGCATTACTACATGGAAAAAGCTGACTAAAAAATTCTGCAACAAATTTTTCCCATTACCGAAAAGTAGCGAAGATTCGATTGAAAATTCAAATATTCCAACAGAGAGATATGGAGAAATATCACGAGGCATAGAATAGATTCAATGAGCTAATGAGAAAGTGTCCAACTCTTGGGATCACCATAGGAAATCAAGTACAATATTTCTACACCAGACTTTTACCACTGTCAAAATCTCAGGTATATTCGTCTGATGGTGGATCAATCATAGAAAAATCAGTATAATAAAATATGAATTTATTTGAGTTAACTGCTACTACGCATTCAATGTTCTCACCAGAAAAAAGTGGTATCACCGAAAGCAGTTGATGTGCATGAATTAGACAACATAACATCTATCAACACATATTACTACTTTAACAAAGCATGTAGATTACTTGTAAAATTGCAAACACATAGAGCAAATGCAATGATGATTAGTTTCAGCATGTGACAATTGTGGTAGAAATCTCGCCATAGAAAACTGCTTTATGCTTTCTTCTTTAGAGAAACAAGTTAACTTTATTCAAATTGGTTCTCATAATTTCAATTCGTATGAAAATAATTCTCAGCAAGAGAGAAGACCAAGTTTGGTGGATGTTTTATCAATATGTGCAGAAAATAGACAAACTATTCCAACAGATTGATACTATTTTTCAAAATCAGCAAGCATCAATCGAGAAGTTTAAAATACAAATCGATCAAATAGCTCAACAACTTGCAAAGCTTCCACAAGGATCATTGCCAAGCAACACAGTGACAAATCCTAAGAAGGGGGTGATGGAAATAAAAGTAGTTGAAAATAATCCACCAAGGGCTCTTATAAAAGTTGAAGCGCATGTGCATCCACTTCCATTGCCAAAGACTTCGAAAGAAGTCGATGGAGCAAAATATTGATGCTATAACTATAAGGAGTGGGATACAATTATCAGAGATTACTATGAAAATATTAGATAGAAAAGATGACCAGGAAGAGGTTGATGGAGCTACAATGGAAGAAAAATCAGCACCAATATCACTTGATAATGAAGAAAGTACAAAAGCATCTACTACCAAAGCACCAAGAAGTCAAGACTGACTTACCTCCCATTTCTTTTCCCTAAAGGATCAAGAAGAACAAACAAGACATAAAATATAAAAGTTTTCTCGTTGTTCTTAAGATACTTCATATCAATATTCCATTCATTGATGCAATATTACAAATTCTAAGGTACACAAAAGCTTTGAAAGAGATGTTGACAAAGAAAAAAGATTTCGCGATTTGTTGAAATTGTGGCATTAAAGGAGGAAAATATTGCAGAGTGTAGAACAAGTTGCCTCCAAAGTTAAAAGATCTAGTGAGTTTTAATTTACCAATTTCAATTGGAAATTTTTGTTCTATTAAGCATTGTGTGACATAGGTGCTAATATAAATATAATGTCATATTCTGTTTATAGTAAATTGGGACTAGATAAAATCAAATCAACTCAATAACGTTACAATTAGCTGATAGAACAATTTCAAGGCCAGGGGCAAAATTGAGGATGTACTTATAAAAGCAAGAAATTTAATATTTCCTGTGGACTTCGTTGTGTTGGACATACCAGAAGATCGAGACATTCCAGTTATAACGGGTTAGCCATTCTTAGCAATGGGTTTAACCCTGATTGACATGGAAAAGGGTAAACTAATTTTGAGGGTAGATAACAAGTGATATTCAATATTTACACCCAATATAAGCAACCTCTCAATATCAAAACTTGTTGTAGAATTGATGAAGAAGAGCCACCTGATCAATGAAGTTGTTAGAAAAGAAAATCAAATTTTGGTGGCTTCTTGGTCGAGATGCAAATGGAAATATCAATATTTGGAAAGCAAAGAAAATGTGTATTAATAAAAATTGTACAAAATGCAAGGATGGAATAACTTGGTTCAAGCCACCATGATCAATCATAGCAAAAAGTCAAGTTAATTGTTTTAAAGAAGCGCTTCTTGGGATGCAACTTAAGCTCTATCCCTTTCTTATTACTTAGTTTTTAATTTTAGGATAGCTCATTTTATTATCAT